TGGTAAGGAGTAACAGTTTGAACCTTGTCTGGAGCAATGATAAGATTAGCTCTATTAAGACAATATTTTAGGAGTTCATATGCCTGAAATAAAAGAGACTGTGAAGGGGCAGCCAGCAACAAATCATCCATATAATGCAATAGCAGAGCGTCAGGAAAGTCCTGACGTACTGGGTAAATGGCCTTGGCAACATAGGATTGACATAAAGTAGGACTATTTGCCATTCCCTGTGGGAGAACGACCCATTCATATCTATCATAAGGCCTCTCAAAATTGGTAGATGGAACGCTAAAGGCAAAACGTTTGCAATCAGTCGGAGCCAAAGGGATGGTGAAAAAGCAGTCTTTTAAATCAATAACTATAAGATGCCACTCCTGCGGCACAACAACAGGAGAGGGCAAGCCTGGTTGTAGCGGCCCCATAATTTCCATGGTTTCATTAACTTTCCTTAAGTCCTGTAATAGTCTCCATTTACCAGAACGTTTTTTAATGACAAAAATAGGAGAATTCCAGGGACTGTTGGTAGGCCGAATATGACCCGCATCAAGCTGTTCCCGAACCAACTTGTGGGCGGCAGTAATTTTTTCAGAAGACAGGGGCCATTGTTCTACCCATACCGGGAAATCAGATTTCCATGTGATAGCATCAGCATGAGCATCGGGAATTACAGTGGCCCCTTGGAAAAATATCCTAAACCAAAACGGTTGCATTTTTGAGATAAAGAAAGAGGCTTGGGCATGCCTTGCAAATGTTTACCCAAGCCCTTGGGAGGCTGATAACCTTGTCTAAGCATAATATCAAGAGCTTTACCACCAGTGACCAGATGAGCTCCCATAGCTTCCAAGATATCTCGCCCCCAGAGATTGAGGGGAATGCCAGGAATAACATAAGGGCGAAAGGAGCCAGAGTGTCCGTCCATATCAGTCCAAGTCAGCAAGTTGGCAGACTGATGGGGATGATTGCTCATCCCAATACCTTGTAAAGAGGTCATGGCAACATTAGTAGGCCAATTATGGGGCCAATGCCTGTCAGAAATTACAGAGACATCAGCCCCAGTGTCTAAAAGTCCTTTAAAGTTTTTTCCATTAATTTTAAGATAAAGTTCAGGTCTGGTCGCGGAAATAGACTGCACCCAATAAGCATAAGAAGAGGAACCAAAACCACGTTCACCCCTAGCATCATTAGTAAGGGAGGAGCCCACAGTCAAGTTAACAGGGATGAGTAACAACTGGGCAAATGATTGCTCAGGAGTAAGAGTATAAATTCCTTTAGGTGCCCAAGCCATAACTTTAATTTCACCTGTATAGTCTGAGTCAATTACACCGGGAAGGACCTGGAGTCCTTTCAATGACCAACTGCTGCGTCCCAGCACCAGGCCAGCGTGGCCAGAAGGGAGGGGACCGAAAATGCCTGTTGGAATGGCCTGGGGGCCCATGTCGGGAGTTAATACCGGTCTGGAGGAGGGACAGAGGTCAAGTCCTGCAGTGTTTGGGGTTGCTCTGTAAAGTTCAGAAATGGACTTCCTGACCCCTGAAGGGGTTGAGTTTGAGCAATCGGTGCCCCGAATTTCTGAGGGGGTCGAGACAACCCCCCCTGGGAGTTTCCCGAATGCAGTTGCAAAGGTTTGCCCTGGGCATCACGTTTAGAGCGACATTCTCTAGCCCAGTGACTACCACGATGGCAGCGAGGGCACTCACCAGGCTGACGACCAGAGGGCTTGAACGACTCAGGTGGAGGTAATGAAGCCAAAAGCCGAGGATTGGGAGTAAGGGAAGCCTGGCAAGTCTTTGCCACATGTCCCAAGTTGCCACAGCGAAAGCATTTAACACCAGGTTTATTTTGAGGAGGTTTTTGTTTTAAAAAAGCGGCAACGGTCATGCCAGCCTGAGCAGCTGCCATAGCGAGCCCCTGTTGGTAAGCAGGGACTATGTCAGCGCAAAGGCGGGTATAATCATGTAAATTACTCTTTTTACGGTAGGGTCTGATGGCGGCCTGACAGGCGGTATTAGCATTTTCAAAGGCTAATTGTTTAACCAACATAGAAGCAGCGTTCTCATCTGAAACCTGACGGCTCACTGCTTGCAATAGATGAGAAACAAAGTCTTGATAAGGTTCGTCAGGGCCCTGTCTGATTTTAGATAATTCCTCCGTTTTCGAAGTGGAGGATGGTAGCTACCGCCAGGCATGGACTGCAATGGCATTAATCTGAGTATAGGCCTCATTAGGCATAACAATTTGATCATTTAGATCCTCATGTTCACCGCGACCCATAAGCATATTTAGAGTAACAGGAGAATGGTTACGGCGGTTGCGCTGTGACTGTTCAATAGCAGCTTCCTCATAGTAAGCTTTCCATAAAAGAAAATCACCTCCAGACAGACAGGCTCTAGCCAAACGACCCCAGTCTGTGGGTGCTAATGCAGAGAAGGCAAGATTGTCAAGAAGAGTAAGAGTGTATGGAGCAGTAGGACCATACTGGGCGGTAGCCTCTTTAAGCTCATGGAGAACCTTGGGAGCAATAGGGTCATAGCTATGAACAGCTTGTCCTTGATCATCCACTACTTCTATAATGGGATACAGGACGGGAAGCAGATTGTCAGAGTCAGCAAAGCCCCTGTGCATAGACATCAATGCGTGAGACAGAGGGGAAACGGGGGAAGTGGCAGTAGAACGTAGGGGAGCAGGCATCACAGCACCTGAAGTGACGGGAGGCTGTGTTGGGTGCGTAACGGGAAAACAGTGCTGCTGTTGGGTAGAGAGAGCACGAGAGCAGAGTGAAAGTAAGTCTTGGAATTGTTGGGCAAGATTGGGTGGGAGGGTAAAAGTTACTGGTCCAGGAGTCCATTGAGGAGTATTGTCAGGAGTACGCGCTTCGTCCACAAGAACCTCTGTCAGAGTTTCAAAGTTATCCAAAGGTGGATATTCTACGTGTGAGGAGTTAGACCCACATTCTGCCCACTCATGAGGATCAGGTGGAAGAGGGGGAGCCTCAGGAGGCGGTTGTATAACGGCGGGTGGTGCGGCAGCACCAGAGGGCAGGGGAGTATAGGGAGGGGCAGAAGGAGGAAGATTTTTAGAAGGACAAACACATTCTCGTAGTTTAGGCCAAACAGAAAGCAAAACTTCACATTGAGGCAAAGACTTATTGAGAAAACAAAATTGATCGATTTTCTCTCCTATGACGTTCCATGTGGCTTCATCGAGAAAGCCACCTTCAGGGACCCATGGACACATTTCCCTAACAATGTGCACAAATTCTTCAACAGTTTTCATCTTAATATCATAACCATACGACTTAATCATTGACTGTAAAAGCTGTACGAACATATTACATTCCTTAGACTCTAAATGCCCCATGTTTTACTCCAGACTGAAAACTTGAAAATCAACACTTGTATATACACGATTAAGAAAGCAACTCAAAAACTTACTGCTGCAGCCTCACTCCTTAATTGATGTGCGTCACTGTAATCCCTCGTGTCCAGGCCCCGTGTCGTGGTCGCCAGATGTCGTGGACCGTCCGGACGGGTAGGCACGTCTGCCCGGGGGTCTCTCGACCTGCAAGAGGGTCCCAATACCTGGAAGAGGGAGTGCGCCTGAGAAAATAATAAAGACAGAGAGAGAGAAAGCGAGGCGTCTGGAGGGCTGATAGGCTGTGCCTAAACAGCAAATTTTATTTTTCAAAGGCCAGGAATAAATACACTTTCTTGGCTCTGGTTTACGTCATAGCAAGAGGAATGTAAATGTATGCCTCACATGGCCTATACAATAGAGAAATCAGATACACAATGGTTGCAAGAGGAAATGCAAATGTATACCTTACATGGCCTATACAATTGAAAAGTCAGATACACAATCAGTGGTTGTAAAAAGTAACAGAATTTCCTGTAATCACAAAGCTTGTTTGCATCCAGACATTATTCCTCCTGGCTGCAGGTATCTCCGGTTTGATCTTGTTTTAGAACTGAGATGTGAAAAGGTTTTCTGGTTTTGCTCCTCAGAATATCTCTTAACCGGATTCTCCTTTGTCTACTCCTAACTCAACTTAACTCAATTTCCCCATTCAGGAATCTCTGAGTCAGGAATCAAAGCCATCCCTTATGGTGGCATTTGCTTTGCAAATATCGACAGTTAAACCATTAGGCAGTCAGGTAAGTAAAGAAAAGGTTAAAACTTATTCTTAAAAGAGAGTCATAAAAAAGGTTAAAAGCAGGAACTGGTTGCTGGTAGGGGGTCACTCGGTCTAGCAGCAACGCATAGTTTTGGGCCCAAATGATATTGTGGTTGATATTAGAAACTGATCATTCATCTTTCTTCCTATATTTCCGGATAGCTCGACTGCCTCCAGTAGGAAACTGTGTTTGGGATCAAACTCACCGTATAGTGAGACTCATGCCTTTTAGGGGTCTCACATGGAAGTGTTCCCCACAGTTATTATGCTGTGAGTATGAGAAAAGTGATTACCTGTACATTAAGCAAGCTGATTCAGAGTGTTCTCTACCAAAAAACTGGAGGTCAGAAACAAAAACATTTGTACCATAAATGTTGTTGCTTGTTAATCCCAAAGCCTCTTATTTTCTAGACACCCAATTCCTTTTTTAGAAATACACTATCACCTAACATACTCTAATAGCTATCTCAATTATGTCCAGTGGAATAACAGCAAAACAGGGTAATTTTGTAGCAAGATGCAAAACATTCCGTTAAAATCAGGTTATGTTACTCTGTCATCACAGCTGTTTAAGTCAAATACCAGCCAGTATTATAGATCACATAATGCTGATAAATAATCTTAGTTCATAATATAGCAGGCTGACTATTCTTAGAATGTGAAAGTCTGTTCTGGTTACAAATGCTTCTGTGTTACACATCAGTCTTTAGAGGTTTGCAGGTATCTGTTGTCTGCAGAGATTGGACAAGAAGGAAAACTGCCAATGAATGAATACCCATCCATATAAGGCATGGGGGCATTTGATCATCTTCATGTTCCAACCTTACAGATTATCCAGAAGGCTCGTCATCTCTTGCTGTGGAAACGGAAACATAGCAGTTTTCATATTTCCTGCATCTCTCAGACAGGTCAGTATTCTGAGGGAGATATATACAGTGACACCTGAACTGCTAATGAGCATCCTTGGAAGAATAACTAGAAAAGAAAAAATTCTCATCCTGAGTGAAAAAGATTTTAAATTCTTCACTCTTGTGATGCATATATAAGCAGAATTTCTATACATAATTTCCCCTGCCGGTGTACTAAGAAAAATGACCTTATTCCCTGCAAACTCACATTTATGTCACTTGTGCTAAAAGACTCCAGGGATCCTGAGACACCCAAACATTCCATTAAGGTTATTTACTCTCATACTGTGAATTATAAGCCTCCTCCTGGTGCATTCCAGGTCTCTGAAATGGTACAGATTACAAATAGGCTTCTGTCACGGACTCCATTATGTCAGTTAATAACTTACTCTTTACCCACTGAGAGCAAAAAAGCACCTACACTCTAACCGTCCTAAAATACTATGAACTTGTTAAGCAGTGGCAGACAACTTTACAAATGGGATTCTCTTCGGCCTGGTGAAAAGCTCAATGACCTTCTTTTGCAACACTCATAGATATAAACCCAGTGTAATTAAGTATTAAAATAATTTTAGTAATAGAAATACCATGGAACTTGTACCTCTGATCTGATTACGCTTCTAATCCTATCCTCATGAAAAAAAAGCTAGCAATTATTTAGAACCTTATCACTCTGTTCATGGGTTCTCAAGTCTTCATTTCTTTCCCTTACAGAAATTCTACTGTGTACAAGTGTAAATATTGTATAAAACCTTGTATATGCCAGCCACTTTGGTATGTACTTGATATACATGATCTTATTTAATCCTCACATCAACTGTAAGATGAATGTTACTATTCCCATTTTACTTATGGGAAAACTGATGTGTAGAGACATTAAATCACTTATCCAAGGATGCATAGTAGCAAGTGGCCAACCTAGGGTTGTAACTCATGTCAATCTGACCTCAAAGTATGCTATTTCCACAATGGCACTACATGTCAAAGTCTGACTTGTTATTTATGATGTGTCTTTATTTATTATCAAAAATGAAAAGAGGAGAGGATTAAATCTGTTTCGTTATCCATAGCCCTGAGGAAATGCTTGTTTAGTAAGACAACTTGTATGATAGTAGTATCTAGATTTGGGTTATCTGTGTTGCTAATCTGTCCATTTTATTTTAGTATTTTTCTAGGGGAAACGCTACTACTTTGGCATGTTAACAGATGCTGGAGAGGGTCAGGGGAAATAAGAATGCTTTTAAACTGTCGGTGGGACTGTAAATTTGTTCAGCCATTGTGGAAGACAGTGTGGCAATTCCTCAAGGATCTAGAACTAAAAATACCATTGGACCCAGCAATCACATTACTGTGTATATGCCCAAAGGGTTATAAATCATTCTATTATAAAGACACATGCACACGTATGTTTATTGTGGCACTGTTCACAATAGCAAAGACTTGGAACCAACCCAAATGCCCATCTATGATAGATTGGATAAAGAAAATGTGGCACATATACACCATGGAATACTATGCAGCCATAAAAAAGGATGAGTTCATGTCCTTTGCAGGGACATGGATAAAGCTGGAAACCATCATTCTCAGAAACACCACGTGTTCTCACTCATAAATGGGTGTTGAACAATGAGAACACATGGACACAGAGGGTATCATCACACACTGGGGCCTGTCATGGGCTTCAGGGCTAGGGGAGGAATAGCAGTGGGTGTGGGAATAGGGGAGGGATAGCATTAAGAGAAATACCTAATGTAGATGATAGAGTGATGGATGCAGCAAACCACCATGGCACGTGTATACCTATGTAACAAACCTGCACATTTTGCACATGTACCTCAGAACTTAAAGTATGATAAAAAAAAAAAAAAGATGTTAAAGGAAAATAATTATCTGGTGAATAAATTTAGAAAACTATATATAAGCAAAATTAGAAAGTTGAATTTAGTGTAGAAATACTCAGGGGTTTTATTACACTAATGAGTTTTCTGACTCACTAGAAGGAGGTTGTGGTGGCCCCTTAAACTTTATTTAACTGTTGGATTCTTTCTTTTTGGCATATCATGGAACCTAGTATTTAGTGCAGTACTTGACAGGACCTTTAATATGCTAAGGGACTTTGAAATACATTTTTTATATACTTCCCTTGATAAGCAAAATTGCTTCCAAGCAATGTCTTTTACAGGGCACTCTGTCCAAATATATTAATAGAGTGATTCATTTTGTGGAAATAAGAAACGTGTGTGTGTGTGTGTGTGTGTGTGTGTGTGTGTGTGTGTGAGATGGAGTTTCACTCTTTCGCCCAGATTGGAGTGCAGTGGTGCAATCTCAGCTTACTACAACCTCCACCTCCCTGATTCAAGCAATTCTTCTTCCTCAGCCACCCGAGTAGCTGGGATTACAGATGTGTGCCACCATATCTGGCTACTTTTTGTATTTTTGGTAGAGATGCTGTTTCTCCCTGTTGGTGAGGCTGGTATCTAACTCCTGACCTCAAGTGATCTGCCCACCTTGGCCTCCCAAAGTGCTGGGATTAGCCACTCTGCCAGGCTTCATATTCTGATAAGAATAGAAAAGTACATAGGAACACAGGAGGGAAGAGTGGGAGAAGAATTTTTAAACTTATTAAGATATGAAGAATTTTTATAACTATGTAGAAAATTACTAGTGATATTTGTAAAAAGCTCCAAATTGAAAACAACCTGAATGTCCATCAGTAGAAGAATGCATGAATAAATTATATATGTCCAAATTATTAGATACTTAATGTATATTTCTCTTCATTTTTTTGAATTTTTTTAAATAAAAAAAGGATAAAAAATAAAATGAATCCCCATGTGTCTAAAAATTGGAATTAGTAAATGCTATTTTTTCTATTTTCCCTCAAAATGTTGTATATAAAAAATTATTGCCATATTTTTACCCAAAGAAATGCACTTATTCTAGATTATATTTTCTTCAAAATGAAAAGACAAACTTGAAAAATATTTGCAAACTATACCACATGCAAAATTTAATATGCTTAATTTACAAAGCTCTTGCAAATCAGTAAACAAAAGAAAAGCACAACAGTTAGAAAATGGGCAGAGCAATAGAAGCAAGCAGTGAGGAAAGAACTCTCCATTCAATTAATGGTACTAGGATAACTGGCTAGCCATATGCAGAAAACTGAAACTGGACACTTAACTTTCTTCATATGCAAACATTAACTCAAGATGGATTAAAGACTCAAATGTTAAGACTTTAAACTATAAAAATCCTAGGATAAAACCTAGGAAATACCCTTATCAACATTGGCCTTGACAAAGAATTTTTGGCCAAGTCCCCAAAAGCAATTGCAACAGAAACAAAAATTGGCAAGTGGTACCTAATTAAACTAAAGAGCTTCTGCACACCATAAGAAATTATCAGTAGCATAAACAATCTACAGAATAGGAGAAAATATTTGCAAACTGCTTCTGACAAAAGTCTAATATCCAGAATCTGTAAAGAACTTAACAAGCAAAAAACAACCCCATTAAAAATGGGCAAAGGACATAATGAACAGACGTTTCTCAAGTGAAGACATACAAGCAGCCAACACACATATGAAAAAAATGCTTATCAACACTAATCATCAGAGAAATGCAAATTCAAACCCACAATGAGGTGTACTATCTCACACCAGTCAGAATGGCTATTATACAAAAGTCAAAAAATAACATGCTGGTGAAGCTCCAGAGAAAACTGTGTGCTTATACACTGTTGATGGGAATGTAAATTAATCCAGCCACTGTGGAAAGCAGTTTCAAGATTTCTCAAAAAATCCGTAAAACAGAACTCCCATGCAACCCAGCAATCCCATTACTGGGTATATACCCAGGGAAAATAAATCCTTCTAACCAAAAGACTTATGTACATATATGTTCATCACAGCACTATTCACAATAGTGAAGACATGGAATCAACCTAAGTGTTTATCAGCAGAGGACTGGACAAAGAAAATGTGGTACATATACACCATGGATACTACACAGCCATAAAAAATAATGAAATCTTATCCTTTCAGCAACATGGATGCAGCTGGAGGCCATAATCCTAAGAAAATTAACACAGAAACAGAAAACCAAAAAACGCATGTTTTCACTTATAAGTGGGAGTTAAACACTGAGTACACATGGAAACAAGGATGGCAGCAATAGACACTGAAGACTACTAGTTGGGGGAGGGAAGGAGGGGGTGAGTTGAAAAACTACCTATTGGATACTGTGCTCACTACCTAGGTGATGGGATCTATACCCCAAACCTCAGCATCACCCAATATACCTATCTAACGAACTTGCACACCTATCCCCTGAATCCAAAATAAAAGATGAAAGTATTTTAAATTTTTTTAAAAGAAAATGGACAAAGGATACAATCAACAAAATAGAAATTAAAATGAAAAATAAACATTAAACATGTTCTTCAGTGTAAATAAATTAAAATTAAAATAACCTAAAATACAAATTTTTGTCTATTAAGTCAGCCAATTTTTACAAATTGCAGTACTTATTGTTGGCAAAGACACGCTGAAACAGATGTTCTTAAACAATGCTGATGTAAGTTTAAATTCTTAAGTCATTTTTTGAGTGCAACTTGGAAAATGTATAAAAACCATTAAAATCTCATACTTTTTTAATTCAAAGAAACTTGTAGTACTTTGATTTTATTGTTCTGTATTTTTTGTGCCTTTATAGTACAATAAATTATATGCTTTTATAATATACAGTCTGGCAAGGTTTGAAATATGTTTCCATCTGTGAAACCATCACTACGATCGAAATAATGAATATATCCGTCTCTCCCAAATTTTCTTCTTCCCCTTTATAAATAAACCCTGCCCCATCACCAGGAAACCACTGATTTATTTTGTTACTATCAGTTTTCATTTTCTAGAATTTTAAATCAGTAGAACTGTATAAATGTATTTTTCATTTTTTCTGAATTTTTCCACTAAGCATAATTGAGATTCACCTTTTTTG